TAGCTTCTTTACTGTTGGAGAAGTGTGGGCATTAAGGTGCAGTGACTTTTAATATCGATTTTTATATGATCGGTGTCTTCCTCTAATCTAAGTTTTGTTACGGTCATATACATAGGAAGTTTCTTTGGCTATTGAGCCTTAATCTGTATACTTAACTGTTTCAAAATTTTATACTGAGTTCATGTTATTAATATTAAGACTTGTTAAATTACTTTAGTGTGTAGTGGTAAAATTTATCCAACTTCTTTTTATGATCTTTACTTTTAGACAAAAAAATGGCCGATGGTCGCTCAGCGTCACATACCTCCTCTCCTGTGTCTAACAAGTATGTGTGCCGCGTAGCACCCCCCCCCCCTACTCCCCCTTTTTTAATTCTTATATTTTTTTATTTTTTGCTTAGGACCTCATCAAATGGCTCCGACAGAGTTAAAAGCGATCGAACTCCAGGATGTCCAACTTCATCTTCCGACGGAGGAGCATCGGTCATATCTCCTTGTCCACCTCGCTCTTTTCCTTCACCGCAGGTAACGAGTACCGCAGCTTCTGATTTCCGGAATCATCCACAAAAGTCTTCTAGGCTAAGTCCTGTCTTGGAGCACCCACCAACATTGTCTTTAAACAACAGCCATTCCACAGAGGCCGATTGTGATCGTTCATCTGAGAGTATAGAAGGTAGTGGTGGTTCTGAACGTATGAAGCAGTCTGATTCTATGGAACATCAGTCTAAGTCCCAAGCCTATATTCCTCTGGACACTCCGGAAATGCTGCAGTTTGTGGATCCTAGATTGTCTGCTCAGTTCCAGCATACTGTAGCGGATACCCTCGAAACTGAGGTACAACTTTAATAGCTCATTTACTTTATTTTGACAACTCGGTTTGAGAATTGCATTGATCTAAACAAAAGTCTTAGGATCATTCGAGATTGAGTATGCATCGAGTCATGGAGCACACTGAATACACCTTCTGGCCGTTTGCCAGCCCATAGATACGCTTGAATAATCTCGGAATTTATCGATCAAAAGGGATCTCGATATTTCGTGGTTACCTAACATAGTTTCAACAAATACAATTTGATAATTTTCTTTATAAGATAAGGGGAACTAAGTTTACTTCCAATATTGTTTGATTAGAATTTAGTTCCAACAGTTGTTAGTATAAAATCCTTGTTATTTGGAAGCGTAAAGTACTTCGCGGAGGAGATTAGATTTCCTTTATTTGAAAATAATATCTGGGAGACCAAGTCTGTAGCAAGACTTTATTCGTTACGGTGCTCCAATTTTGATAGCCTTCGCAATTAGGGAATTGTTTCAACTGTAAAAGTGGCTTAATTATGAGCATGATATCCTGAATATTTATCAGTCCATGCCTTTTTTCATTTTCAAATATAATTACGGCTGTCTATGTGTCCTACAAATCTAGGGGGCGATAAGCGCATCCAGTTTGTTAGTTGTTGGTAGGCGATCTATTACTCCATCGGTGTTACCGGATTTGAGACATTTTGAAATAAAATATTTTTTGCGCTTTTTAGTAAACTTTTATCTATTACCGTTAAAGGCACAAGCATTAAAGTGTACATTTGATCGACTGCATGGCTTACTCTACACCGAACTCAACTGTGAAATGAAAAAGCTGCGCGCTCTTTTATCAATAAGTGACTCGAAATTGCGAAATAATCAAAGAAAGTAAGTCTAGGCAACCTTTCACAAGTTGATAATTGTAAGTTGATCTTAATTAACAGCACCGATTCTCTCTTTTAGGCGGGAAGGGTTACAGGAATTGATGAACACATCCGAACCTCGAAGGTTCCTTCCACGACTAAGTTCTCCTGACCAGCCCGTTTGAATTTCCGTCCCATCATTCCGTTCCTTCCGTGGCAGCTCTTCCTCCTTTGTGCTAATTGGCATTGACGCCCTTGTTCCCTAATTGCATCTCATATCGGTCTTACTATGTAAAGTACCCTCTCGCCATAGTCTTATTCTAATGTGACTTCCGGTCTTGCCGTCTCCTTTTGTTGTGCACATGCTTGTGAGTTCGCTTTAACTCCACGTACCTGTGTGTGCAGCGATTGATGGTGATTTCAGCTTATTTTTTATTTTACTACTAATACACAGGCGCACGTGTGTCTGGCACTGCGTCATTCAGTGTGAAAGCGTGGAGTCCGTAAATTCGTTCAGTTCTGAGTGTGGATAAAATCACCATCAATTCTCCCTAACCGCGACTTGATTCCCATGTACAGTTGTACACTTCTTCAGAGATTATAATTTTTATCAAATGCCCCTAGCTTTTGCTAATGGGGAGACTTGTGTATGTAAATGTTTCTGAAACTGCGTAAATATATTGTGAAGTGGTTAATGTACAAAATCAAGTGTTAAGGTTCGATGAAAGCGAAATTGTCAGTTTTACTGGTCAAGTAGGAAATGAGGATGAAATTAAAAAGCACGATCTTCGACGGGATCGGCAGGTGTCGGAGTGATCGCAAACGTACCAGTCGCACATCAAGTGCGAAATCACAATGAGGAAAAATGAGTTGACGAGGAAACCTATCGGAAAGAGAATGTGATGCCAAGCAAATCAACAGTTCAGTTGTCCTAGAACACCATTTATGGTCTTTGATAGAAATATTTTATTTATATCAAATGGCAGGCGTCTTGATGGTTATCATTAGCCCCTTAGTTGACTTCAGACTTCACAGAGGAGAAGGAACATCATATTGAAAAAAGTCGAGAGAGGGGGGGGGAACAGAAGAGTGTTTCAAAGATGTAAGAGACAAACACAAAGGTAGAAAAAAGGTGAAGTGAGTACTGTGAGAATAGTCGAATATGGCAGAGAGTGAGGTGGTGGTAGAAATATAAATCACTAAAAATACCGAGGGAAGAGTTCAGAGGTATGAAAAACCGAGAGTGCAAAATCAAGGATAATTATGAAAGGAT